CCTCTCCCGTGTCCCTGTGCCCTCTCCCGTGTCCCCGTGCCGTCTCCCCTGTCCCCGTGCCCTCTCCCGTGTCCCTGTGCCCTCTCCCGTGTCCCTGCTGTGCCCTCTCCCATGTCCCCGTGCCGTCTCCCATGTCCCTGTGTCCCTGCCGTGCCCGCCCCCCCGGGCGCACTCACCACTTGACGTCATCGTTGTGGCCGGTGTAGTGACGCTGCAGCTGTTCCTCCACGTTGTAGAGCACCACCACCGAAGCGATGAAGTACACCGTCTCGCCCGTCGGGAGCAGGTACAGGTTGTTGCGACAGTCTCGGCCCCTGTAGCCATAGCTTTGTGCAAGTCAAGACAAAATATTCCCCTTTCTCCAAGAGCAGAGACGGCGTCACTCAACGCACCCAGGACCAAAACACTACAGGGCTTTCCCGTCAGGCTCACTGACTAAAGAAACGGCAGACGCCAAGCACCGCAGAGCACCTGACCCCCAGCTGGCACTCGGCGGGGCTGCAACCAGCCACTGGCTCAACGGGATTCGTGTTTTTCACAACCCTTGGATGTGCTTTTGTTTTTGGCATTACATTTTGAAAGCTGACATTTTAAATCAATATTGATTCCATGATATTGGACATGATCATGTAAAGAAATCGTCAAGGATTTCATTGTACTCGGATCCACAATAAATGTCTAGGAAAGCGGTGCTAAAACCAAATCAAATGACACACTGTCAGTGGCAAATCTACTGCTGAGGAAAGCCAGGGTGCCACATTAGACTAGACAGCGCCTGGGGCCCTGGAGGCTGGGCTGCAGTCCCAAAGGCACGCGGTTCAAATCCACCAGCAGCTCCACAAGGAACAGGGTGGGCATTTCCTCCTGTGCAATTTGCTGCCTCTGAAAACCCCCTGGAGGGTCAGCTGTGGGCTGGTTCCGACCCAACAGCACACACCCCACCATGACAAGTCATCGAGCCGTGGAGAAGGAAGGCAGTGGCCTTGATGCTTTGAGTTGAATATAAACCACGGCGGCCACAACCCCACCACGGTTTAGGAAGACTTGCAGCCGGAGTGCTTCATGGAGACAAGGATGCGAGCCTTTGTCTTGTACACTCCAGGCATGTGATCAGGAGGGGTAGTCCCAGGAGCAGGACACCACCCAGCTAAACAGAGGGTCAGTGAAAGGGAGGAGACCCCTCAGGGAGCGGGGCTGGCACAGCGGCGGCGACAGTGGCCAGAGCCCGGCACAAGGTGAGCGGGGGTTTGCGCTTCTCGACTGTTTCACCGTGAAGAATGTGCCATCAGGTTAGGAGAACACTCACTAACAACCTGTGTTACGCAGATGGCACAGCTCTGCTAGTTCAAAGTGAAGACTTGAAACATTCAAGAAGATCAAAGACATTTTCTTCATATCGTCCAGCTTCTTTGCTCAGTATTCAGACTGAATGGTATGAAGGAAGGATACAAGTCTGACACACGCCTTTCCTGATCTGAAACCATGCAGTGCTGCCGTGTTTTATTTGGACAACTTCTTGGTCTAGATCTAGGCAAACAATGTTGTTACGTGCTGTCAAGCTGACTACAACTCCCAGTGACCTTATGAACGAGGGCTCTGAACCTTGCCCTATGCTGAGCCAACTTCACCTTTGACACCTGACCCCATGGCCACAATCACTGTGTCAATCCATCTCATCCGGGGTCTTCCTCTCCTACACTGACCCTCAACCCTTCCAAGCCTGATGTCCTTCTCCAAGGACTGGTCCCTCCTGGCAACATTCCCAAAGTATGTCAGATGGAGCTTCAAAATCCTTGCCTCCAGGAAGCAGCTTGGTTCCACCTTCTCCAGGCAGACCTGTTTGTCCTCCTAGCAGTCCATGGTGTTCAATACTCCTCTCCAGCACCACAGCTCAGAGACACTGATTCTGTCATCCTTATCCATTGTTCAGCTCTCAGATGTATAGCAGGCAATTGAGAAGATGAAGGCCTGAACCAGGTGCATCTCAGTCTCCAGACTGACACTGTTGCTCTTTAATACTCTGGAGAGGTCCCTGACAGCAGGTTTTCCCAAAGCAACTCATCTTTTCATTTCCCCACTGCTGGTGGCAAGAGTGTTGAGTGTGGATCCAAAGAAGAGGAAATCATGAACCACCTCAATCTTTTCTCCATCTATCGCGATGCTGCTTAATGGCCCCATGGTGAGAATCTTTGTTTTCTTCATGTTGAGATGCAACCCATACTGCAAACTGCGGTCCTTGACATTTCACTGAAGATACTTCAGGTCTGCCTCAGTTTCAGCAAACAGGGTTGTGTCATCTGTGTAACGCAGGTTGTTGATGAGTCTTCCTCCAATCCTGATGACGTATTCCTATTCATGAAGTCTAGCCTCCCAAATGATCTGTTCAGCATATAGACTGAAAAGATACACATTCCTTTCTTGATTTTGAACCATGCAGTGTTCCTTTGCTTTATTTGGGCATCAGCTTCCTGTACCAATTAGGTTTTACATGCGCACAATCAAGGGTTCTGGGATTCCCATTCTTCTCAGTGCTAGTCACCGTTTGTTGTGATCCACACAGTCAAATGCCTTTGCAAAATCAATAAAACACGTATTTCAACCAAGATCCTTCAGATATCAGCAACTATAATCCCTAGTGCCATGGCCTCTTCTAAACCCAGCCCATATTTCTGGCAGGTCTCTGTTGATGTTCTAGTAATTTCTGGATATCTTGAGCAAACTTTTGCTTAGATATGATATTGTTGGATAGTTTCCACATTCAGTTGGATCACCTCTTTTGGGAGTGGGGATGAATATGGATCTCTTCCTATAAGGTAGCTCCAAGAAGGAACGCATACCTTAGAACAACAACTAAAAGAGGACAGAAGACAGGAAGGGACAGGAAAGATAGACAAATGGAAATAGAAAGCAAAGGAAGTGAAGCATGCTGTCATATTTTGAGTTTTGTAATGAATGCTACAAAACAAAACACATATGAATTGTTGAAAGGAAAACCAATTTACCCAGTAAACTTACACTCAAATGACAACAAACCTTAAAAAAATCAAGAGGCGGCTGACCAAATCAAGTGCTGATGAGGCTGTGAGGCTCCTGGAACCCCCAGTGTTTCCAGGGGAAAGAATAAGACGGCAGAATCACCTCGGTGCAGAGACGATGAAACGGCAGGAACGGATTCTTACACAACCCCACTCATAAAAGCCCGTCTACATGTGAATGGGAAGACGAATGTGGCATGTCCACGCTCAGTAATTAAAATGGACCAACCACTGAAATAATAACATGCATGCATCTCAAAATAAATATGCCAATAAAAGGGGGGAAAAGAAAGAAAAAGATTGTATCTCATGATTCCAGGAAAGGGTAAATAATCTTTTATGAGAGCTGATTAAGTTCCCTGGAGACAGGGTGGGCAGTCGGGAAGGATCACAAGGGGGCGTGTGGAAACTTCCAGACACGATGGCCACGTGCATCACCCTGACTGCAGAGGTGGTCTCACATTATCACTTATAGGCCAAATCGAGGCAACTCTATCTTCCAGTGTGTGCGGTTTCTTGTACGTCCTTGCATGCCAATTAAATGTGTTGGGTTTTTAGGGCATTTACTCTCGCCTTAAAGTCCACCTGTGTAGACAGGGGAGCTGCAATCTTCCTCGATGGGGGGTGGGGAAGCACAGTTACTTCGCCCCCTTTTCCCCAGCTCGCCTTTCCCCCTTTCCACTGGCTTCCCCAGCAGCTCATTCACCCACAAACGTCGCATGCAAAGCCTCCTGTGGCTCAGTCTTGAGAACAGGTCTCGGCGGGTGAGCCGAGATGCCCATGGCCTTGGTGTGCGGAGGGACGGGTCCTTCCTTACTCAAGTGCAATTCTATCTATGCATCGACACTGTGTCCGCTTTATGTAAGGCACACCCCGGATTCCACTTAGCACTCTGCTCTGCGTTACTAACTCCTCCCTGGGCGACACAGTTAATGCCCCAAGCTACTAACTGAAAGGTCCGGGGTTCAAGTCCATGCTGGATGAAAGGCCTTGTGATCTTTTGAAATACAGCCATTGAAAAGCTGGTGGGTCACAGTGCTCCTCTGACCACGTGGGGTCCTTCAGAGCCATGGCGTCTTCAAGCGACACTGACAAGTTCCTACTGGATGTGAAGAGGAACTATTCATCCTAGAACACTTCCTTCAGGACCTCCCTTCTAAAAAGAACGTTTTTCTGTGTCTTTTGTGACGGTTCTGCACAGCAGTTTAGGCTCCCATCCAGTGGTTTCTACATAAAATGCTCACAGACTTTGGTCACATTCTTCACAGTGCGTGAACAGTCTCACTGCTTCTGTTCTGGTTGTTCTGTTTGCATTGATCTAGCTGCCCTGGCCCCTGACACCCTCACGTTTGCTGTAAAGCCACTGCTGACACCGTAATCTCACACAGGTGATTTCCGACCTTCTGGGTGACATTTGTGCTTTTCGGAGCTTGTTTGTTATGTCGCTGCGAGGGGTTCGTTCCAGCTCGCGGTCCAATGAGTACATCAGGACTACCGTCAGGGAGTAGGTGCAGGGAGTGCCCCAGTATCAGCCGACCCAGCGGGTCTGGGGTTTTGCTTGGTTTGTTTTCAGAAATCTGAGGTCTCGTTTTGTACTTTCTCCCTTCTTATCAGGGTCGACGGGCAGGAGCCCCGATTCCCTCACCATTTCTTTTCGGTTAGAAGGATTCTGCCAGTACAGGTCCAGCTTCCATTGCGGATATTTGCTTTTCCTCCCTCATAAGTCTAACTGTCCCTGCCGTTCCCAGTAAACACGTCCCGCTCTTGACTTTTCCATCAGTCAGGCCCTCAAGAGCTTTGTCACATTTAAAATAACCAGACCTCACATCTTGAGCTGAATCCCAATTCGCCTTCGTGATTGTTTCCACCCAGCTTGCTTCTCTGTAAGAGCTTGGCTAAGCTTACATGGGCAGTTTCCGGGTTAGGAAAGAGGTCCACACCTGTGGGTGTCTTTAAGTTGATTTTGTAGGTGAGAAGAAACACATAGGTACGGTTCCTGTCCAGCCTGAGTTCGGCATGAGGGACAGGAAAGATGTGGGGGGCTGCTTCTGTAACGATTTCCAGCTTTGGAGGTCCCAAGGGGAAGTTCTTCTCTCCTTGTAGGGTGGTGGTGACTGGGAATCAGCTTGACCGTCAAGGGTTTGGTTTGGGCTGTTGTGCAAGAAAATCTAGAAGCCCCTTCAACGACATGAAGCAAGTGAAGGCGGCTATGTGGACACCTGGGCCAGGCTTTGAAAGTGTGAGCAGATTGGCATGAAAGCCCACACACAAGTCACCTGTAAGTCGGACGTGTGCAGCCTGAGGACTTACTGTCCTGTGCGGAAAACGACCAAAAGTGAGTGGTGTGCTTTCCCTGACCAAAGCGCCACAATCAGATGGCATTTGAGTAATTTCTTTAGAGGAAAAAGGACTGTGTATTCTTAGAGCCCAGCCCACTGTGCTCCGATTCACAGTGGCCTGGTGGGAGAGCACAGAAGCGCCCCTGGGCTTCTGAGGCTGGGATCCTTTCAGACCAGCCCCCCAGGTCCTCATCCCCCATTTCTGAGGCTGAGATCCTTCCAGAATTCCCCCCGCTTCCAAGGTCGAGATCCTTCCAGAAACACACACACACACAGACACACACACACACACACACACACACACACACACCCCGGCGTCCGAGATCCTTCCAGAACCACCCCTCTACTGCCTCCCTGGCTTCCGATGCCGAAATCCTTCCAGACACTCCCTCCCAACCCCCCTTCCCTGGCTTCCAAGGCCGAAATCCCAGAAGCCCAGAAGCCGACAGGCTCGTCCCTGTCCCTCGGACCAGCTGGCGGGCTCCCAGAGCAGGCATTGTGGTCAGTGGCCAAAAGCTCTGAGCATGGCCTCCAGGACTCCTTCATGGGGCCTAACGGGCCTAAGCGGTGCCTATTAGGGGTCCTCCTGTGTCGAACACTGAACAGCCTTCTAACGTAAAGACAATTCTGTTAGTTTCATTTTTTTAAAAGAGAGAGTTGGAGATTTTCTTTTAAAAAGCTTAAGAGGACACATTGTCTGAATTTCTAGCTGAACCTGAAGCTGATAACCCTGAAGCCGAGGCCAGCGCGGAGTCCGACCGGCTCGGGGTAAAGGATACACCCACTCCAGTCTCAGGCGCTTGGTGGGAAGGTCCACTTTTGCTTCCAGATTGTAAGAATCCACCTGGTCTCGGGGCATGTACATGGCGACAGGGCGTCCGCGAAGGAACATCTTCACATAGCCTTCCTCTGTGAAAAGAACGAGGATGTCAGTAGGACTCACTGGAGACCAGTGTACCTACAAATGGCCCCCCTGGCCTTCCAACGCCTCAGTGAAGGCCTGACACTTCAACATCTTAGGGGGAAAGAACCAAAGCAAAAAGTTGAGCAGTTTAAAACAAAAGCCTGTGTCTTGTTTGTGTTCAGTTTTTTGATTGCCTAAGTTCGTGTAAATGTGCAGAGGTTGTAAAGGCAAAGGCACTGGGCCTCACTAATTCTTCTCGCCACACTGTGGTGCCCACATCTGCTCAACCATCAACCACACCCAACGAGGCTGAGCTGATTCCAACTCCAGGTGGCCCCACAGGGCAGAGGAGAACCGCCCCGGGCTGTAAGCTTGTAGAAGCAGACTGCATCTCTTCCCCACAGGGACGGGGCTGGGCCCTGGGCTTCACTACAGCACCACCAGCAGTTCTCATCATCAAAACCCAGCCCAACTCACCGCTGTAGACGAGGGACCAACTCCTAGCTGGCAGTGGGCAAGCTTTCAGAAGCTGTGAATCTCACGGGATTTCTCCCACGGAGCACGTGGTGGATTTGAACTGCCTGCCTTTGTGTTAGCCACACAATTCCCTAACCAGAGGTCCCCGGAGCTTGTCAGAAGTGGGAAAATGACACCCCCAAGATTACAGCCTTAGAAATCCTCTCTAGACTTCTGCTGAGCTCAACGTCTAGGCGAGTGTACCAAGCGTCCTGAACTCTTGACAGTTAAGGTGACTTGCTCTATCTCTTGTCATGTGACTTGTTACATCATGATGCGAAGGTAAGTCAGATCATTCACTCAAGTGTGAAGGACACCAGGGCAGCAGAAGTACGTGCTCAGAAGCATGCAAGAGCAGGGCGCCCAGCAGAGGGCTCCGAGCAGAAAACCAGGGCAGAAAACAGCGAGAGAAATGCGGGGAGAGTCCACGGTGGAGCACCTTGTGATCAAGTCCTAGTTAACAAATCACGGCTACGGCAAAAGTAAGAGTCAGTAATAGATTGACGCAGAGAAGCACCTGAAAACAGGCAAACAAAAATTCCAATTTGAGGTTTTCTGCCTAGTTTTTAGGATACAAGAACCTCAAGCAAAATGTCTTATGAGCGGTTTAGAATTCCTGGACTCAGACCTTGATGGGTCACTGGCAAACAGAGGACCAGCCCTGAGGGCATCTGAACTGGGCAGCAGGGACTGGGGACACCTGCAGTGAGCTCAAGAGAGCACCCTGTGCATGGCAGAAACTGTGGTGGGGGAGACGTGGGACCGGGCAGGGCCGGGAGCACATACACATCATCTCCACGGGGCCTATTCCAAGGACTTCCAGCACCGTCACATGCACCACTGCCTGAGATGTGGGGGCTTCTGGCTCTGTTAGGGAAGCGTGCGTGGGGTTCTCCAGCGCATGCATGCCACACCCTTTGCTGACTGCCCCGCAGGTCCACTACAGGCCGTGGGCCAGACTTTGTGCCTATCACCTCCTCCTGTCCCACAGCTGTCCCGTTCTCCCCAGCCCCCTGGATGGGTCCATCTGAGCTCCCACTTGCCCAGGCTCTCTTGTCCCATCCTATGCGGTCTTAGATCAGCTGTCAGACCCATCTGGGTACTTCTTGTCCCCAGGACGGACTTCCCTGAGCCCCTTCCCTTAAAAGTCCTTGTGGCCTGCCCGCTAGGCTCCATCTTGGATGCTCAGCTCACCACCCCCATCCCATCTGGACTCTCCTTCCTCGGACACCGTGTGCACCTGCTCTTGTAGTCTCGGGGGCTCTGCCTCTGCTGGTCTCCATTCCCCAGCCCCTGGCCCATGCACCAGCTCAGCAGACTGGCGGTGAGCCCGTGGAGGAATCTCAAATGCTCCAGTGACCATCAGAGGAGGCCAGGGCAGGCTTGGTGAGCTTAAAGGTGGGTGACAGGTGACATCACTGATTGTCTTTGTAAGGAAGGCATCAGCTCTTGTCAGGGAGCTCACAGAGTAGAGGAGAGAGAATACAATGCCACGTCCCCAGCACCAGAAAGCCCAGCATGGATGACAGAGCCAGCACACGTGCGATCCCTCCAGGGGTAGACCGCCGCTGTGTGCTGGTGAAGGACCACAGGCGTGTGTGTCTGCCCTGGACACTGCTTAGCGCTGGCCATTTGGATATCCTCATTCACAGTCAGGTGCAGCGAGGGAATGTGATCTCTCCCGGGGATGTTAGAACAGCACACACAGGCAGCCCGGGGCGCGTGAGGGAGGGAGGCCAGCAGCCGTGCAGGGCCGCTCAGGAGCGGGACAGCCGGATGCCCCGCAGCTCTCTCCAGGTTCACACGGACTCTTCAAAGTCCCTGGCACCAGCCAATCATCCATCAAGATGCAGTTCCTGGCCACTTGTTCAAGGCCAGCCAAGGAAGTGCTGAGAAGACTGATCTTGTGAATGCACTGGCCTCCCAGACACTTTGCGTGTGAGGGGCGTCTGTCCGCCTGGACGAAACCATGCAGAGAGCTACGAGGTGTGTGCGAGGCCGCCTACCTTGGCAGTGTGTCACCCGGCGCTTCCCTTGTGATTTCGGAGACAGAGACAGAAGGGCTGGATAAAGAGAGGTGGAGTGCGTGGCAGGGCCGCCGGCCAGGAGCGCTCAGGCTCGCGGGCAGGGGGGCCAGGTGCACCCAGGACACGGCTGTCAAGTTTTCAGGGCACATCTCTGCACTCCTGACAAGGAGAACCCTACCCTGCCACGTGCTGATTTACCAGAAAACCATCAACACAAAATGTGGCCTTGGCCTCCTGAGTCTGAGGCTGGGGACAGGCTGGGGTGGATGTATTTAACCACCTGCACACCTGTGGGTTCGCCTGGCCTTTATACACATTCATGTGCTAAAATCAGCATCTCACCTACTGCAGACTGCGTTCAGAAACATACAGACAGGGGTACGAACTAGCAGCTCAGGGGTCCGATCAAAGGCAGGAAGACCAGAGCTATTTTCAGACAAAGTGGCCATTGGTGGTCACGTCAGGTCCTGCCTGGCAGGTGGGGAACAATGACGTAGGCCTCTGCTGGCTTTTAACCCAGAAATTCTGAGACAATGTGGGCGGTGGCACTTCACAATGTCCCCATGACAGGTCTGGAGTCCATATGGAAGGAGTCACCTGAGCCCTGACACATAAACCCAAGGCTTCTGTCCCCTACGACCCAGCCCGAGGAAGGCCACTGCGTGAAGGCCTCTGAGTGAGTCGAGGGCCACCCCCTGGGGAAGTGAAAGCAGACTTACCTGAACTGAACACAGGCTCCTTGGGTTTGCTGTGAAAACAAAAAAACAAAACCAGCATTAAATGAAGGTTCTGGTGTCACAGCATCCACAGAAGACCCCACTGTCATCAGCTGCTGTCCATCACTCAGGAGGCTCACTTTGTGTGCAACTCAGAAGGAAAGCTAATCAGTTAAAAGCAGAAAAAAACACACAAGTACATAAAATCACCCAAAACTAGGTGCGAGAAGCCCAGTCCTGAATTTTTGGCCAATGGGAGTGTTCCATGAGCACAGAGTGGAGTGTGACACTCCTCTGTCAAGATTCAGCACCACAGTGTCCCTGCATGTGCTATGAGGACTTTTGAAGATGTCCTGTCCAGGCACTGCTCTCGGCCACTTCTGCAGGTGTGGTCCCAGCGGCCTTGACTACAGACACAAGGTTCACTTTTGACCAGCGTCTTCATCAGTGTGAGAGATAGCTAGGTCCACTGTTGAGAGGCTGTGGAGACGTAGCCTGACAAAGCCCTGGAGACAGAGCCAGAGTTAAAGGTCTGCTTGCTCGATGACTGAAGGAAGAGCTGACTTGTGACTATTATGAAAAAGCTGGTTGGACAACTGAGGAGACGAGAGGCTACTTGGTGCTTGTGCTGCTGCACTGAACCTGGACTTTCACTTACTGATTGGGAAGCCATCTGAACTCACTGAGGAGTGGTGCCTGGCTGTTAACCTGCCCTGGGAACGCTGCACTAAACCTGGACTTTCACTGTGTGATATCATTTGCCTCCCTCACCTCCCAACCTATTTCCCTAATAAACTTCACAACTGTCAGTCAAGTCAGTGAGTCAATCCACAATACACACAGGGACAGCGTGAGGGGCATGTCTGACGTTCAGGGATCAGTTTCATACTGTGGTTGTTGCTGAGAGGGACGGTTCCCCGTTGCAGAGTTAATAGTGCCCTCACTCAGTTGTCCCCATGCTGCACTTGCTCCTTTTACTCCACAGGACAGAGCAGAACTGCCTCGAATGGTCTCCAAGGCATCTTGACAGAAGCACGCTGCTTCACTGTCCTGCTGATGGGTTCAAACCATCAACCTTTCTAACCACGGTACCACAGACTCCTTCATAGAATGCTCCCTGTCGAAATGTGTAAACAAGGTTTGCTCTCTTTCTTCGTGTGCTTTTCACAGACTATGGAAACATGAGATTCTTGGCAAGTGATCTTCTAGACCACGACTGTTAGAGACTTGACTGTATTCCAGAAAGACAAGGCGCAGAGGCAAAGGGGCAAAGAATTCTGACCATCGGGGCTTGGCCACTGGCCCCAGGCCCAATGAGTGTCCACACATCAGGCCATCCCTGTGCTCAAATAGCCCCAACAGGGTCAAGGCAGCATGGCAGCCGACAGGCTTCCCACAAGGACGTCTTCTGTGAGGACCTCCCAGGTGCAGGGGGAGCAGCCCCTGTTACATCGTGGCACAGCTGCTCCATCCTGGGGAAGGAGCCCAGACGTGAGGTCAGCAGGCCGGTGAAGCAGACGTTAGAAAGCCACTTCACCTCCATAAGCCTCCATGTCCTGTGTCTGTGGGACGGTATAAACCACGAGGCCCGGGAACTGGGAGGACTAGATAAGGGGCTCTCATGATAATCAGCCCATTCTCTCTCTCTCTCTCTCTCTCTCTCTCCCTTCTCCTCCCAATTTCCATGACAAGGTCGTAGGCATTATTTCTGGCCCCTCGCCTAGTAGTCTTGAAACCAAAGCAATGTAAAGAATGCTACAACTTGCCTTAATATTTATCAAACCATGAAAGAAAGACCCAGGGTTGGAAGGTTCAATCTTTTCAGTTGAAAATAACGGCTTAATCATCAAACTGATTTATCACCTAATTTTTCTTGAGGTCTCTTTTTAAATTTTATATTGGTGTGCACACAAAGTTCGTATACATTATGTTCCACACTGTTCTTCATTCATACTGTGTTTCATACAATCACTTCCATGCATTATGTTCTAATAAAATCAAACCCCACTGGACCTTGTCCAATTTTGAGGGCCGATGTTTCAGAACGTAAGAAGTCCATTTAGAACTGTCTGTCGATAGGTGGTGCTGTTTCCACGACTCTTCAATGGCTCATGTGGTTTTAAAAAGAAATCACATCGTCTCTCTCAACCTCTCCCTCCCTCCCTCCCTCCTTCCTTCTCTCTCAACCTCTCCCTCCTCCTCTCTCTCCCTCTCTCCCCCTCTCCCTCCTTCTCTCTCTCTCTCTCCTCTTCCTCTGACTTGCTGCTCGGTGCTGTGGTGTTAGTGCTCACTCAGCAGCAACCCTACACCTCCCAGAAGGACACCCTGCCAGGCCTGTGCCGTCCTCACACACGCTGTGCAGCCACTGTCCCATGCCATCTAACCGAAGGTCCCTCTCGTCCGCACAGATCCTCCATGTGACCAAGCGCAGTGCCCTTCTCCAGAGGCTGCTTCTTCTTGGTAACACGTCCAAAGTGGGTGAGATGACGTTCTTGCCATCTTGACTTTTTTTGTGTGCATGTACCATCAAATCAGATCTGACTAGTACAGGAGGACACTGTCCCTCCCTCTCCAGCAGAGCATCTGCTGGATTCGAGCTGGGCACTACTGGGATTACAGTGCCGCTTCTTGCCACTAGGCCACCAGAGCTCCCTAACCATCTTGACTTCTAAGGAACAGTCTGACTGTTCTTTTTTTCAAGACACTCTCCTGCTTCTTCACAGTCAATAATCAATAATAGTCAATAACCTTCAGCAACACGTAAGTAAAAGTCATCAAGGGTTCTTCTGCTTGTGTGACTCACTGTCCAGTTCTGCACGCACATGGAGTGACCATGACGGCTCTGGCCAGATGTGTTTTAGCCCTCAAAGCGACATCTTGGCTTTTGAGGACTTCAAAGAGGGTTTTTTTGGTAGCAGATTTGCCTATGGTAATGGGTCATTTTGCTTCCTGTTTGGTTGTGGATCCAAATGAAAAAAAAAACAAAAACAAACCAAACCCAATTCTTGACAATTTCATCCTTTCCTCTGTTAATCATACAAACTTAACAACTTATTGCCATCAAGTCAGAAGCGACTTGGAGCTGACCCCCCAGGGACTTTTGAGAGGTGGTAAATTGCATGGGAATAGACTGCCCATCTTTCTCCCTTGGAGCAGATAGTGGATTCGAACTGCCTGCTTCTGAGCTGACAGTGTAACTCCATACCCACTAGGCCACCAGGGCTCCCTCTCCCTTGTGTTGATTACTGGTTCGGTTTTAAGGATTTTTGGTTTACGGTGAGGAGTAATTCACAGTGGGACTTTTCTCTTCTGTTAGTGCTTCCAGTTCTCTTTGCTTTCACCAAGCAAGGGTGTTAGAAATATTTACTGAGCAGTTACTGTGTGCCAGGCACTTTGCAAGGTGCTAGAGATTAAAAAAATTAATAAGTGACAGCTTCGGCACTCCCTACGTGTAAAGGGGAGGGTCAAGGGGCGTTTGTGAGGGGGGAGCCCCAGGTCAAGTAAACAGACAGGTGTGTAACCTGACAGCGTATCAGTGGGGTGAAGATCCAGGGGGGGCGTCCCACACAGGCAGGCCTCTCAGGCCGAGGCCGGAAGGTAAGCTGGAGTCAGCTGAAATGTAGCCCCCTCCCCAGCGTCTGCACCTCCAAAAATGTCTGGCCACGCCATGCACGACTCAGGAGGGGGACTCTCCACCTACAAGTCCCATCTCACTCAGCTGTGCCTGGGCTGTGGTTAGGAGGCCTGGCTGCTAGCTGAAAGGTGGGCGGTTCGAATCCACCAGCCTCTCTGTGGGAGAAAGATGGGCAGTCTTTTCCTATTAAGATCTGCAATCTCGGAGAGCCGACGGGGGGCTGTCATAAATATGATGTGCATTATGAAGTGAAGTATAAATATATTTTGATAGTAGGTCTTAGTTTTGATGGGAGGTTCTGTATTCATGTTTACTTTTACGATTCAGTGTTGTTTTTTTCTGATTATGTTGTCATTTTCCTCAGATTCCTTCTTTTTTAACTAAACCTATTTGAGTATCTCGTACAAGCTACCTGCACTCCTCTTGCAATGAGCTGCCTGTTAAGCCCTTTTCCGTTTTCTGTGGTGGCGACTGTCTCTCTGTTACTCCTAGTTGGGTGCTTTGAAATGGAAGGACCTTTGTGGAAGTGTGTCAGAGTGGCTAAAGGAATGGGATTTTTGGGTGTCCCCATGTCCTCCACACCTCGTGGGGTGTTCTGTCTACATTAGGTGCCCAATAGTACTGTGGGCTGGGAATGAGCGAGGTGACAAGAGAAATTCTGAGAGTGTCTGATTCCTCCTTCTACAGGCTGGGACGGTGCAGAGACAGGGGTCGGAGTTCCGAGGTGGCCCCGGAAGAGAGGCATTTTGAGTCTGGGAGAGGAGTGAGCAAAGCTGTGCCGATGTCCACCACCCCCTGCCATCTGGGGGCCAGCTCCGTGCCCCATGTCCTATGCACACGGTCCCCCTGCCACCATTCTACAACCCTGTGAACAGTGCTGGTCTCTCTCTCCCACTGGGGACTAAGCCACAGAGACTGTCAGGATTGCACTGTGTCCCCTCCAAATATAAGTCAAGATGCTGGTGCATGATCCTATGAAGATGTCCCTGTATGACCATCCAACGAAGAGTGACAAAGGGAGGGGCCAAACCTGACCACCTCTGAACTACTAGAACAGGAGAGCAGACAGGGGCATGCAGGGGGCAGGGAAAGATGCCAAGGAATGCCCAGGCTCGCCAGCAGACACCAGAGGACATGAGAGGGTCAGCATGGCTAAGACCACAACTTGAATTTTCAGCTTCCAATCCGGGAGGAAAGGAATCTGTCAAAGCCACCACTTGTGATATTTCTGTTATGGCAGCCCCAGGAGACTTAACGGATCCACTAACCTGTCCACAGTCAGAACGAAACTGGGTAGAGCTGAGCTCAGAAGCTGAGTGTGGCTAATGCAGCACCACCACCTGAACTTTCTCAGCTATGGGGGGAAGATCCACTCGGCAGTTGTTTACTGCTGGATGC